AGCTCGCTCAGCAGCTGAAGGATAAGGCCAAAGATGAAGAAGAGCTTCAACAACAGTTCAGCTCTGTTTGGAGCAGCTGGGTTACTGAATTAACAGCAGATATAAAACCTGTTGAAGACATCAACTTGGAAAAAGATCAGTTAACGATCCTTCAAGAACTTGGTTTTGAATGGACTCTCATAAATGAATGTAAAACGAGTGGCAGATACAAGAATATATCAGAGGTTGGTGATTATTCAGATTATATAATAATATGTGGACAGATGTCAATGATTAGAATGATTGAGGCCTACCACAAACATGTTTCATTTGGCCCTTTCTCCCATGAAGAACAACAACAGATCAGATCGCTCATTGACAAAGCTGAAAAAGACTCACTTGATGCAATCAAAAGCAAATGTGTAGCTAAAAGAGGTTATGAAACAACTTATTTATATGAAGTGGCCAATCATTTAACAAAAGAAGTGCAGAAATTTCTGTCAGAGAGGAAATATACTTTGAAGAAGATGTTTACAGTTGATCTCTTACTGTTTGTGTTCTATAGGGTGGAGTGTTGGGCTGTAGCATCTCACAGAAAATTTAAAGTGATCAATGATGCACTCATTTATTTAGAAAGCAAGAAAACACAGTATTACACAGTTTTTAAAAGCTTTTGTAAAGGCAACTTATTTGCTGTTGTACTTGGAGAGCTGATCTGTAACAAGCTGAAAGCTAACACTGTTACGGCTGTCTGCAAGAAGACTGCCACTGATCTCGCTGGTGTAATTTTCCCAGCATTCAGTGGGAACAGACTGAACTTGGAGAAACATATGTTGAAGTCACTCGCTGAGAAAGAAGACTTTGATGATTTCATCACCTACTTCACATATCCAAGGACACAAGAAGTAACTTTCATCAAAGCAGAAGTGCAGAAGTATATCACTGATCACAATGATGAAGCTCTGAATATACTCAAAAAAATGTTGACGACATGAATAAACTTGTGAGTCAGGCTTTATCAACGTCAACACAAATAGTCAAAATTCAGAGAGGAAACACAGACATGTGGATGAAGGAATTTTCCAATGCTCTGAAGGATGAGCTGACATTTGACAACATATGTTTTGAAAACTTCAGTGACATAAAACATTTTGATTTCCTCAAGGAAGAGATTAAAAAAGGATTTAAATCTATCACTGAGCATCACCTCTCCCTGGAAAAGCTGAATGAATCCAGCCTGAAGGCTGAAGAATTCCTCATAGATCAGCTGTGTAACTGCTCCTGGGTAACGTGTCCATTCTGTGCAGCTGCTTGTACCAATACCATGAAAGCTCACAGTCCTTATGACCACACCACTCCTTTTCACCAACTGTCCGTGATCAGTGGGGAGCACTGGGGACATACAAGTGAGTCTGGCATGCACGTCTGTACAGAACTGTTTTCAAGTAATTACAGTTTCTACCCTTATCATTATTCAGGGAGGTCAACTCCTGATAAACAGTACAGAAGTGCTGGTTCACAGTATTGTACCTGGAGAATCCCCTCTGATGGATCTCAAGCGTACTGGAAATGGTTTGTGTGTCGATTTCAGCATGAACTGGAAAGGCACTATGACTTTAAATTCCAGGGCAGACAAGAGATTCCACATCAGTGGAAAACAGTCTCTAAATATGAAGCCATTAAAAGTCTGGGTGAAATGTATTAGAGAGTTAAAGAAACTACAAACCTGCTGAAAATGACCAAACTGGTCTGCTTGAAAATTATTTCAAGCAGATTTATCTTGCTGATTCAAGTACATGTTTAAAAGACTGATTCACATTCATACTACACTCTTCCACTCTTTCTACATCTTCCTAATTGAAGCTGTAGAGAAGGTGGGTGGAGGAAGGACAAAAGGTAGGTGGAGAGGAGAGGGGTGGAGGTGGTATTTATTTAGTATGGAATTACAAGGGAAACCTGGGCATGAAACTGCTGTTCAGTCAATTATTCAACTTCTAAGTCTCTAAACCTGGAGGACTGTGTATAAAAATGTATAAAAATGTCTTCCCAAACAGTTGATGCAATGATTCTGTTTTTTGGTGGAATCAAAAGTCACTGTGTTGGTGTAAAGAAGCAAAACTACAAAAACTGTGTCTTTGTCTGAAGAATTTGGGGACAAACTGTATTACCAGTATCCTAAAGCATCTCTTTGGTCTGTGTGGACACAAGTGAGCAATGGCTGGTACATCTGGATTAATCTTGTAATAGAGAAACCAAAAAATCTACGTCCTGTTCTCATTGGAAAGAGGACTCCACTGGAAACTAACTTTAAGATTATATTTTATCTAAATATATTATTACTACTTGTGTAATCTATGGTCTTCTGGTCTATATTTGCAGATACATTTCTTTTTAATTTTTTCCCCATTTGAATAAAATAAAAAGACACAAACTTGAGTCTGAAACCTTTAAAATGTATTTACATTATATTGTCTTACACAGGAAAACCTTACAGGGCTGTTGGGAGGAAATAGTGATTACTGTCATTAAATAATTAGCATTGATTATTATGATAGTGTTGAGTTTCAGGCTCTCTATGTGAGCGCAAACAGCCTCACATGTCTGAAAATGAGATGAAATATATATAAAATAAACAGCTTTTGAATAACAGCAATATTTGGCATAAAAAAAAGGAAATCTAAGATTATAGTCCCTTAAACAATTCATGGTCATTATGTACGGCCACGATAATATACTTCAAAACAGGCGTGACATGCAGACAAAGTAAAGAAATAAACATTCAATAAGCTGAACAGATGCAAAGGTCTCAGTTTTCTGTTTGAGGACTGCTCGTTCTCCCTTGGATTCACTAAGGTAGTAACTGAACGACCGAACGAGCACGCTTTGTTACAGCTGCTTTCACCTTCTGACCTGCCATAAAAAATAAAAACACCAAACATCGGGGATTGTGATTGTGATTGTCTAAGCGATGCTAAATGTTTCACAGCAAAAGAAAAAAAATTCTCCTCATCAAAAGGAGGAAAACATCTGAACGCCGGACTTTAAATTTCTTTAAACACTGAGCCGCAGTGCATGTGGAGTTTTCTACCAGACCTTTCAGTTGCAGTGCAGACAGAACAATCAAGTCAAAAAAGTCAAACTCAGTAACAAAAGAAAATCTCGACAGTACTTAAAAAGTATTGAGATAAAAATAAAGTAAAATAACACTTTGGATAATAACAATGCAGAGATACGTGTATCAAACATAAAAAGATATTTCCCTTTGAGATTAAGCAGACAGATGATGGTTAAAGGCACAATATAAATATGCACACGGGACACAAACAACACGACACACAAATACACATTCTTAACGGTCAAGCTGCATGTGTGTGAAAATCTTCTTCAGGCTCAGTTATTGTTCAGTCTTAATCTCATTCAGACTGGGGAAGGTCCATCCCTCTGCGCTCCTCGCCGTCTACATAACAAAACAAACCCCTCGAAATACAGTTAATGAGCAAAGTAGAAGTTTATTGCACTGTCATCCTTTATTTTTGATTCCCTCCTATATGATTTAGAAAGACTTTGGGTTGTTGTGAGGCTGAGTGACGGTAACTCAAAGTAACTGAGGAGGTGTGTAAAGCCATGTCTCGTTTACTTCTTTTTT